CGTCTCGGTTAGTGCTAGGATCTTTCAACCTCTATAGCGGGCTCTGGCTACTTGAAGGGCCATGCTCCAGCTCTAAAAGGGATGGGAGATGTCTCCATAGTTCTCCCAATAGACGCTCTGTGCACATGCTTTATAAACTGTAGACCAGAGGTGGCAGACTACCACGTGTGGGAGGCACTCACAGCTGTGTTTACCAGGCCAGGGCCATGCCACACCTCACTCTAGACGCTTTGTCGGAGATACATGGACTGAGAGCCACTGAGTTCATTTCTGCCGACCCCAGTGTATCTGTACTTTGTCCATTAGGGATCAACAAACAGGATTTTGACTTCCTATCATCACTCAAGTTGGCCCTCTCTCTCCTGATCTTTAGGGTAATATCAGTTCCTGTCCCCCAGGTGGCCAGGAGGTTCTCGAGCTGGGCAGTCAGAGGCATGCACCTTTTGGAAAGAACTTAGTTTATGCCTAAAAGTAAGTCAATGACAACATAAGTACAGACATTTTTACTTGAACAGGGATAAAGACAGGTATGGACCTTAAAAGGAATTCCTCTGTGTCCGTGTTCACTATCTGAGGAAGGCATGTTCTTGTCAAGTACGCTGCTTGCATGTGTGGAGACCTTTATCCATCAGGGACCGAGAGCTGCTCAGTGGACAACATTTGCTCCAAAAGCCAGGCCAGACCAGGTTAGCACATTGTAAGTTTCACAGTGTTGAAAGCTAAACAGACCAGCTCACTATGGGCTGGATGGAATAGTTCTATGTTTATTGTATTACTAGAGGCCTGGTGTATGAATTCGTGTACCAGCGGGGTCCCTCTGCCTGGCCTGCGGGATTGGGCCAAAACTGACTCTCTGACATCCCCCGAGGGGTCCCAGATTGCAAGAGGGCTAAGACCAGGCCAAGAGACCCCACTGGTGCAGGATGGGGCCAGGGAGGGACACGGGAGGTTGGTCAGTAGGGAATGGACCACAGGAGGGTTCCAGGGCATGTCCAGTCCATCTCGCTCAGTCACCATCGGCCGGACCCCAGCAGCAAGCTAACCTTCTGGTCAAAGTGTCATAGTGAGCAGTTGAGTAGCCTTAACATATCATTAGCATATTATGCTTTGGTTGACTTAATGACCGACTGGATGACCAGACCCTTAGCATATTAGGCTTTTATTACAATATATAGATTCCTATCTGAAAATATCCATTCATGTTGTTTGTTAATTTTTTATCATCTTTATTGATTCATAGTACTGCTTTATATATTTAATTCTACCTCTGTGTATCTATGCATCTATTGGTGCATTTATCTAAAAACACACTTTCAAATATGACTTCTTTTAATAAGAATAATTACCTGCATTGAATAAAGCCATTTGGTTTTATAAATTGGTCTAGTTATGAAGGTCTTAAGTACAAAAGTTTTCATTCCCTTTACTCTGATTTTCTAAGGGACAGAACTAGACCCAATATCAGACAAATTATGATTTATCAGATGGAAAAAAATAAAGTGGAGAAAAACCCACCACTGTTGTCATTATTCACTTTACCTTTTGAGACTAGAATAATGATTTTTCTTTGTTTGTTTCTTTGTTTCTGAATATTCTTTTGAACATTAAATTTCAGAGGAAAGAAAAGTTTAAACAATCCCCCTTATAGTCAGTTTCATTACATATCTCAGAGTCACATGCTCTCTGGGGCCTGTTCTGCCCTACTTTGGCTGGGGGAACTGAGAAAAAAAGAAAGAAAAAAAAAAAAAAAAAAGATGTGCCTATGACTGACTACAATGTGGGTGGTCCTGACATTCACCCAGCAATCTTCCAACTAAACACTCCCAAACCACAGGACAGCAGGGGGCTTTCCCTGTGTGGTTAATACCCTCTCAATAGAGTGCCTACATGCAAAGCACTGGATGCCAGACCCCCCAGACAGTGCAAGAAAGGAGGCTATGTCCTGAAACTCACCGTTCAGGGCTTACAATGGAGTTCAGAAGGAAGCCATGTGAAAGAGTAAGAGCTTTGAGTAACAGTGTGAGAAAGCAGTGGAAGGTTGTCACGATTTTCATTGTTGGACTAGAATGAATGACAGAGGCAAAAAAAGAAATGTGTGCCTTTGGAGCAGCCTCAAGTGAAGTGTGTTGGTTCTGCATTTCCCTTTCTTCCAGCCTCCACCAGGATCAATGGGTCACAGGCGGGGTAGCCAGGGTCAGTTTCTCCCACCCATGCCAGGTTCGTGTTGGCCGTATCCGGGAAGCTCTGCCGTCCAGTGGGCCCTCCCCAGATCTTTGAGATGGGAGTTCAGTGGAGAGTCCCTCCCCCACTCCCAGACACTTTCACTTTCACAGCAGCCCTGGCTCAGCACCCACAAGATTTAGGGGAAACTGGAAGCACGGATCGCCAAAAACAGAAAAGGCTGAGGCCCCTTTCTGGACCACATAATGGATCCGTTTCTTGCTATTTTCCTGAACAAGTGCAAAACCTGGCTTCTTCTGCTGGCTACTGCCCTTGCCCCTGAAGTTCTATCTTGCTAAGATCCTCTTGAAAATTTACCTAGACAGTGAATCACGAGGTCATATTTGGGTTCCAGCCTCTTAAAGTCATACCGTTTTGGTGACCATCTCCTCCAGTGGTTCTCAACTAGGGAAGGTGTCCCTCCCCAGACATGTGGTCATGTCTGGAGACATGTCTAGTTGTCACAACCGGTGGCGGAAGGGGGGAAGGAGTGCTATTATCATCCAGTGGGTGGAAGCCAACGATGCTGCTAATGTGTTATAAGGCACAGATCAGCCCCATCACTAAGAACTACCCAGACCAAAATACCCATAGTGACCAGGTTGAAAAACCCTGATCTCCCCTGCACTAGCTCAGGCTGGAAAAACCACAGGTCATTGGCTTCTCTGACATGACTTCCAGCTCCACACATCTTCTTAATAGTGGTGAGTTTCTTTGACATACAGGGTAGGGCAAAAATAGTTTTATAGTTGTTCGTATGGAAAATAATACAATAAATAATAATCCCAGAATAAAGTCTGTGTTTCACATACTCACAACTGTATACCTGCTTTTGCCCCACCTGGACACAGGGCTCTGGAGAGGGGACTGGAGGACCCATGATTCAGGGACTCTCTTGGAGGCCTCAGCTTATCTGAATTCTCCTTGATGGGACACTCATGAAAGGTGTTCTGACTTCAGTCCATGTCATGGATAATGACAAAGGTTCCTTTACATTTAGTTATACAATTATTTTTTATTAAATAATACTAAATGATACCTTTTGTTGATAATAAGTCATTGATTCAGTCAACAAACATTCATTGTGGGCCCACTAGGACCAGGCACCATGCTCTAGTCTAGATGAATGATAACTCTCAGGATCTTCTCACTTCAACCACAGCCCCTAAAGCAAGACTTCATCCGTGGGGTGGAGAGGTCAGTGCTTGTTAAACTGCAGGTGCTTGGCCTCCCTCCAGAGATTCTGAGTTCACAAGTGAGGATGGTGCCCAGGAATTTTCATTTTGAGCAAGCACTCTAGGTGACTATGCTACAGGCTACCCACGGGATCATGATTTAAGGAACATTCGTAGAAAACATAAATCCCTACCCAACCTAATCCCAGGCCTGAGAATATGCAGACCTGAGAGCTAATGTAATTTCCTATAACCCTGAACAAAAAAATTAACTCTTTAATCAATTAATTATCTAATCATTCCTTGTCTCACATTTCTCATTTTTAAACACAGATGGCGAAAGGATAGAATGACCCCATGTAACCAGAAGCAGGACATTCACAGGGAACAGAACCATAAAAGTTTTACTTCTAAAAACACATTTTTATGACACGTAACAGAATGTAAACCAGCCAAATGCAGTGGCAAGGAGAAGACTCTCTTGTTGATGTAAGACATATACATGCTAGCTACTCTCTGAACCGACATCGGCATGACATGACTCCTGGGTTCATTAGGACTAACCTTCCCTGGTTACCAAGGTAAATGGCTGCTCTGATCACTCTGTTTTCTTTCAAATCCTTTCTCGGGCCTCCATATTAACATTCCACTATGTGACTTTCCAAAGCATCATTTATTTTAGCAACACGTTAACCACCATTAGAAGCCCAAGTCTAAACCTTGTTCCAAGCCATTAGAAACACCTTAGCACTTGTCTAACATCAAGGAAGTTATTTCCCCATACGGGTAGAAGAACAACACAGGAGGCCTCCTTTTTGGCCCAACTGCTCTACCTCAATCACTGTGATCCATTTCATAGAAGAAGAAACCCACTTAAAGAAACACATCATAATAATTATATACCAGATGGAAGTCAGGGTGTCACGATCGTTCATGAGAAGAGGGGTGAGTTTAAAGGACAGAGGATTCAGAAAACATGCCAGCGTCCCTTAAGATAATCGATCTAAAATGCACTGCTCTTTTTCAGCTTCTCTATCTAAGAATTCCCTTCCATCTTGTCCCTTTAACTAAAATTGTCTTTATTTTCCTTTCACATGTCTCCATGTTGCCGTCTTATCTACAGTGTTTCCTTTTGCTGTGGGTCTCAGCTCTGAGCCCGGAGAGGACCTAAAAGACCCAGTGGGCTCATGGAACAGGCTACCTTGACTTTGATTGCAGAGCAAGCACTTCAAAGACCACTATCTGGGCTCTGATCAAAACCCACTGCCAATATGGATAAGTGTCCACACGGGAGGGGAATAATCCTTCCATGATCAAGAAACACTTACAGTTTTGTGTGTGATCTGTAGCTTTAACCCATCCAGAGTAACCCAGATCCCACACACCAGGCAGCTCCATTCCACTGCCACCCCCAAACGAAAGAGAACCCCCTTCCGGCATTTGGAAACTTTGAACCAACCTATCAACTTGAATGCAAATTTCCCCCCAAGCCCAGATTTGCCAAGATCCATTTTTAGGTAAACTATTCTCCCTGCAGACCAACATGCAAATGGTGGGTGCTCACGTACAAGAACCACAGAGACAACAAAAAGACATGGACTGTACCTATTTTCGCCGCCTCTCCTTTCAGGTTGAAATCCCAGTTTCTTGGCAATTTCAGGGACATTTTGCTTCCTGTTCTGGTGAGCAGCTGCTGAAGTGGTGAGTCGGCCTAGGTCCGGCCTGCCTTCCCAAGCCTTCCCTGTGGCTGGTGTGTGTGCTTTCTCCTTTCAGATTGCTTCACGGGCAGTCTTGGGTTTGAGGTTGATTTGCCAGCGTGTGTCCTCCTTTCTCTCAGACGGAAGGTCCAATCATCTGTGACTTGGGGGATGGTCCCCAAACCTCCACCAAACCCCACCCACAGTCCCGGGGGCTGGTACCTCATGAAGTGTACACTCTGCTTCTCTTGCTTTCAGTTTTACCAGAAATATCCCAGTTACCACTTCGCTCTGCCTCGTGGGAAGCAAAGCCCCTGGTTGAGAAAATCTCAAGCCTCTCTGTGGAGAGGGCCTCATAAACAACGGCTGCCTCTCGGCCTTTTTTTGTGTGTGTGTGTGTGTATTTTTTTTAGTTTGTTTTTTGTTAACTGTCTGCTTCCTTGCATTTGAGGAAGTGGTGGCTGCTCTGTGTAGTTGATACATTCTGAACACTCTTTCTTAAGAAGAGTTTTTTTGGAAATACTTGCATAAGTAGAATGAGTGCTCTTACGATAGAAGGCTAGAGCTTTGATTACAAAGAAAATTCCAAGACTCTCGCCCTCTACCGCTAAGCTCTCCTCCTCACCACATGGATGAGATATCTAAAAATGGTCCATCAGACAAGCAGCGTCCCCCAACACTTGCCTTCCTTGACATGTTTCCTGCTCCACCGACCGCATGGTAAGCTCTCCACCTGCTCAGGATGAAGGCACCAAGTGGCCTCGGCCTGATCTAGGGAGGGTTCTCAGGTAGCTAGTAGGTTGGCTTTCCATGGGGAGACCCTCCCCCATGGGACAATGGTTCTTTGGCATTCTGCACAGGGTGTGGGTTTGGGAATCAGATCGATATGGGGTCAGAGCTCAGTTCTTCCACTTCCTAGCTAGCTCTGCAGTTTTTAACAAGTGACTGTCTCTCTCTGGGCCTCAGTGTCCTCGGTGGTAAAATGGGTTGATGAGAACCATGACTGCACGGAGCGGTGAAGGCGTCTAGCACAGAACTCGACACATAGTGGTTGCACCACAAATGTTAGGTCAACCCTAATTCTAGGCAGTTCAGTTCCATGACAGGCTTCTATAGGTTTAACTGAGTCACGCTAAGTATTTGGCCCCAGGGCCAGACCACCTGTGTTCAAATCCTGGCTCTCCTACTTTCTTACTGTGTGATTAAGGACAGGTTTCTTGACCACTCTGTGCTTTAATTCCCTCATCACTCTGTAAATGAGGCACATAATAGGGCCTGCTTCATGGGGCTGGCATTGGGCTTTACTAGATAGTAGGTAAAATAGTCCCTGCTGGTTTCCAAGCAAGCTACACATCGTAGTCCATTCATTCTTAGACTCTCCTGGAGGACTCCGTCATACTTTCCTCACCTCCTACAAGCTCACTTTTCATTGGTGACCTGGCTTCCAGCTTCATTGAGAAAGTTGGTGCAACTGGAAGGGAATGTCTGCTGGCTCCCACCGCTCTATCTTCCCCCTCCCTGCATGTGGGCCCAACACTTAGCCTTCTTCCGGTCACAGAGGGTGAACCAACTGTCATCATGCCAACATATCTACAGCATCATCCATTTCTTCTTTTTCCTGCTAATCATTCCTATTAGCATTCAAGCTTATTATTTTTTATCCCTTTATTTAAAAACATCCCTCTTGATGCCAGTTTCCTCTTGGACAGCACAGTGTCTCTCCTTCATTTTTGAGCAAAGCTTTAGTACGGATTGTCTACACTTGCAAATGTTTCTTCTACTATTCTCTTTGAGTCCCTTCTGTTGATGCTTTTGCCCCCAGAACTCCGTAGGATATACTCATATCAAGGACATCGATGACATCAGTTTCAGTAAAGCATTGGTCATTTCTCCATGTCTTCTCACTGACTTATCAGCTTCGGACACATTTGATCATTGTCTCCAACTCAACCTCCTTCCTCTTGGCTCCCAGGACTGTTCCTGGCCTGGTTATCTGTTTCTTTGCTGCTTTCTTCTCATCTCTCTGACCTCTAAATATTGAAGGAAACCAAGACTCTGGGCTTTGTTTCCATCCACACCCACACCTTGATGAGTCCATCTGTCTCAAAGCTCTCAATGTCACCTGTCTGATGACTCCAGTATAGATCTCCAGCCAGACTCTCTTGGTCCCCAATTCATACATATCTCTGCCATCTCAAACTAAACTTGTCTGCAACTTCTATTTAGGGGACCCGGCTGAAGAAACAGTGGTAACCTGAGGTATATGCTTCCCATTGTGAATGAAAGGAGCGTAAGAGGGAAGAACCACACAAGTATACTTATAGCCTCTAGTCACAATATGTCTGCTCATATTCCAGTGACTAACTCACATCATATCGTCAAGTCCAAAGTCAGTGAGGCAGGAAGTACACCCATCCCTAAGGGGATGGGAGAAGAAGAAGAAGGCAGGGAATATTTGCTGATCAAGACTCCAACTCATCACACCAACCCACTTTACCCAGCTACCCTATGGTCTCCCCAGAGGTGTGGGACTCCTCTGAACCTGACTCAGCCACTTTGAAGCCCCTCCTCCCCCACATTAGTACCTGCCAGACAGAAACACCACCAGAAACACCACTGCCCCTTATTTCTGCCCTGACTTGGGTTGGGGTAGTAGATAGCACCTTGAGCCCCAGCAGCATCTTCACCATCCAAAGGTTGAGTCCTGGGACCTTTAACTAAGGAACTCTGACAATATTGTGAAGGTAGCACTTAGAAACATATAGGGAACTTCCTTTCCTGTTTAGGGTAGGTTCCTGTAAGTCTTGGAAAAACTCATGACTGATGGGGAAGTTGGTTGTGAGCATTTGCAAAGGCGATCAGAAGAAAGACACCCCTGGAAAGGCCTAACACAGCAGCCTTCCTTCCAAAGAGCCTGTGTGGGGCAGCCAACTGCCTGGTTAGGGATAGAGGGCAGCTCTCCTCATCCTTTCCTCCAGAAAATGAAGAACAAGATGTCTTATTTGGTCCCAAAGTTTCAAACAGCCTCTGCAATCACAAAAAACAAAAATTCATTCATCTATTTGCTTATTGAATGCTAATCATTTATTGAGGAAGGGCTTGAATTTGCTAGACACGTTCAAGAACAAGCAGTCTTGGTTTCTGCTCCCATTCAACTTACTGTCTATTAAGAGAGAAGCACAAATAAGTAAATACACCATAAGAAGGATTATGTTGGGGGAACTCTAGGGTACTATGGAAGATTATGTCAGAGGAGCATACTTGGGACTTGGGGAATGAGGGAAGGCTTCCTGGAGGAAGTGTCTTTTAAATTAAAGCTTAACAAATGAGTTATGGGAGCAAGAGGATTGGAAAAAGGCTTCCAGACAAAGCAAACTGCATGCATAAGGCACAGAGGCAGAGAAGAGCTCATCAGGTGGCTCCTGAGATGGATGAAAGAGATGATATAGAGGAGAGAAGCTGGAGAGACAGACAGGGCTGGACCGGGGCAGGACCCCCGGTAAGCCTTGGTAAAGCGTTTCGACTTTACGCTGGGGTAGGGATGATGAGGCTGTGGCGGTGTGTAGGGAAAGAAGGAAAACAACTCAAGAGCACCCAAGTGGTCGGATTGTGAGCCCCAGTGAATTCCTGCGGCAAGGAAGAGAGATGCCTGCAGCCTGGCTCCAGTCCCTGGAGGGTGGGAGGCTCTAATCACAGAGATGGGCAGAGCACAAGTTTGAGGGCTGCTAATGAGGAGTGGGGAGGGCTGTCGAGGTACCCCAGGGAGAAGATGCTGGGCTCACTCTGGGAAATGCTATATTTAGAGACCTAAGGGGCAGTGAGTACAGACGTCCAGCTGGTATGTGAAGCTACAGCTCAGTAGACAGATTCATTCATTCATTCATTCATTCACTCCATAAACATTTATCTGGGACCATGCTGGATGCTGAGTAAACAAGGATGATTAAGAACCTAATCCTCAGATGACTCATGAGAGAGGCATGTAAACATAAAGGCAGTGCTGTTCAAGGTACAAAAACAGTGCACGCATGGGGCAGGGTGGAAGCAGGGAAGGCTGAATTCTGCTTGGGTGGCCAGGGGTGGCTTCCTGGGACAGGGAGCCCAGGAGAGAGCTGTCGGGCAGGAGCAAGGTGGAGGGTGAGGGGAGGATGTTCTGGGCCATTGAAATAGCAGATCGATGCTAAGATGATAAATCCGTTTAGGGAAGTACCAGGAATGGTGTGTGGCCACAGGACAAGGCTGGAGGAGAGGACAGCAGAGGTGGCAGGGCTGCTGGGCCAGGGCCTCTGACTCTGGCTGAGGATTTGGGATCTATCCTTAGAGGCAGTCATTGGAGGAGTTTTTAAACAACCTTTTTATTGTTATTTTTACCACTTTAGACGTCTATGCAACTTTTATATGAGCATAAAGAAAATGAAAAGCATGATTACTATTTAATATGTAATGAAAATTTTTCCCATTCTCAGTTTCCATCTCTTTTACTCTTTCTGTTTGTGTGTATATGTAATATATGTACATATGTACTTTTAACTTTATTAAGAAATAATTGACATGTATAATTGTATATGTTTAAAGTGTACAATGTGATGATTAGCTATACATATACATTGTAGAATGGTTACCAAGATCAAGATAATTAACACACTTGTCACCTCACGTAATTAACAATTACCCTTTTTTTGTGTGTGTGGTGAGAACATTTAAAATCTATTCTACTCTCGGCAACTTTTTAAGCACACAGTGCCATATTATTGTAGTTCCCATGCTGTACATTAGATCCCATTTGTATGTATTTTAAAATTTAAATATAGTGGTTGTACCAGATCTCACATATATGTGGAATCTAATGAACACAATAAACTGACAAATCAAATAGATGCAGAGACATTGAAGCATGCAACAGACTAAAGTATTTCAGATGTAAGCAGGGGAGATGAGGGGAGCAGGAAGAAATTGACCAAAAAACATA